CCCCCCCAGGGACAGCCTCCCTGCCAAGGCATTCAGTGTACATCTGGACAGCGCTGCCAGATGGTGAGCGGGAAGGCCAGGTGTGTGGCAGAGTCCATAGCTGTCTGCCGCGCCCAGGGTGATCCCCATTACACAACCTTTGATGGCCGTCGCTATGACATGATGGGCACCTGCTCCTACACCATGGCTGAGCTACGTAGCACCAATAAGTCTCTCCTGGCCTTTAAAGTAGAAGCCAAGAATAAGAACCGGAGCACCAACAAAGTCTCCTACGTGCGCTTGGTCACCGTGCACGTTTACAACCATACTGTGTCCCTGGAGTATGGAGAAATTGGCATTGCCCGGGTGAGTTCCCCAAGGCTTTGAGTTTGAGGCCTTTAAACTACCAGTCCAAAAAAGGAGTCAAACCCTTGGCTCTACCACCATCCAATATGTCAACGAAAGAGATGGGTGGTGGAGGGGATTTACTCAGTGTGGCCGCTTGGGTAGAACAATTAACCTTGAAGTCTCTCTTGAGAGGAATGACAAGAACGTTGCAGGCGTACACAGGCAGGAAACAGAGGAGCTGCTCGGGAGTCCACAGCAGAGAGAGCAGGCACTGGTGCTTAGGCGTGGCTTGATGCTCATCATCTCAGCTCTGGTTCTAGGCGGGTTCTGGAGAAGCTGGAGTTGCTGTGAGCTCTTGAGGGACACAACCTGGTCCCCATGAAGTGATTACTTCCACCCAAAAGTGCCGTCTGGCCACTGCGGAGAGTACTTTTCATCTGGGGGTGGTCACAACATGGTGACCTGTCTTGTGAGGTGACCTGCTGTTGGTTTGAGTCGTTTTGGTCCCCTGTCATCCATAGATGTCCGTTGATCTGTAGAGGCAGAGAGAGTGTCTGGGGAGGGCAATGAAAATTAGAGGCAAGACAGGGCCAAAGAAGATGGCTGGAGAGATGGCTCAGTGCTTAAGAGAACTTGCCAAACTTGAAAATCACTGGGTTTCGGTTTCTAGCATCCATGCCTATAACTCCATTTTCGGGGGACCTGATGCCCTCTTCTGACCTCTGTGGCAATAGTATGTGGTTCAATCCGTCCAGAAAACCCTCCTATACATAAAAATCTTTATAAAGCCTCTTTTAGGCTGAGCACAGTGAAGCATTTGCACTGGTAAGACACGCAGAGGGCTGTAAGGACCCGTTGTGGGGTGGGTGTCTTAGACAATTTCATTAGCAGCTTATATCTTGAACAAAGTGACACTCCACTGTCACGATGGGAGTATTATAAGGTGGACAGTTAGGTGATCAAATCACACTTAAAAACCTTTTGTGGAGGTGTGGTTCGGAGTCCCTCAAGTGCCTCCTGTCACACAAAATGTTGCTTTAAGTGGTGGGGGGCGCGGTCCATGATCCATCTTTAGACGAACCTCAACAGGCTCCGTCTGGGGTCCCATCATCCCTTTCTGCTGGGTCATCAATATGATGGCTTTGGGGGTTAATTCTCTTTCTAGTACATACAGGAAACTGTGGTAGGTGTCATCAGCCAGGCTACACTGTCGTGGCTGTGGGAACGCCTGCCCCAAGGACACAGTAGAATAGGGGGTTAAGTCCTGCATCAGTCAGAGGCTTATGAGTGTGTACCTTCATGCTCAGCTGTCCCCTGGTTACAGGGAAGTAACTATTATAGCTAAATGGTCATGGGAAACCCTTAGGAGGCTATTATGGATTCCGGTTAGCGGAAGCTGTCTCACGTGACAGTTCTTGCAAGGCTCAGCAGCCTCTCCCCTTCGGGGACAGAGCTCCAGTTCCAAGTTTTCAACTCTTCATCCAAGTTTTGGGTAAAGCTGGTGTCTTCCTTGATCTCTTTTGTTTGTTTGTTAATAGTTACATTTGGGGTTTTAAATTGAGATTCTCATTTGTGATCATTATCTTCCATAGGGAAAATTACTTTCAATTTTTTATTAATTCACTAATTATTTTTCCTATGCCCAGTCAGTTCCCCTCCTCCTCTCATCCCAGCCTCTCCCCAAACATCCACTCTTCCCCCCAACCCGTCCACTCCTCCTCCTTTCTTTTCAGAGAGGGGCAGGCTTCCCATGTATGTCAGCCAGCCATGGCATATAAGGTTGCAGTGAGACTAGGCACCTCCTCTCCTATTAAGGCTGGATGAGGCGACCCAGTAGGAGGAAAGGGTCCCCAAAGCAGGTGTTTGAACGTTTTATCTTCTTAGTTGCTGTAGACTCTCTAGGTTGTGTCTACCAATCAAGGAAGATCCGTGGCCCTGCCCCCTTAATTGCGTGTAATTTAAGCCAAATATCAGGTGTACCTTGGCAAGTTACTGAACGAGACTGACCATCCTTGCATTTCTGGAGGCTTCTGGCTGTAACTTAGGACAGCAACTGCAATCTTTAGGACACAGCTGCGAAGAGCAGCAGCTCTCCTGAAACACTTTGTATCGTTTGCAAGCTTCTCTGCTCAAGTGCCCAACAGAACCTTTGTGATGGGGTCCAGCCAGCGTCTGTCATTGCTGGAATCTGAGTTCCTCCTGTCTTTTCACTGGCAACACATCTCTTGAATATGGAATCTCGGGACTAAGTTATCTCGCTAGCCTTGTTTAAGACAAGGGCTTCTACAGCAGCCCGGGAGGGGTAGCTGGAATGCTGGCAAGAGTTTCACCAGCCTTTGACCAATTTAATAGGTTCTAAGTAGAAGCAGGATGTGGATCCAGCAACACCTGGGTTAGCCTTCCTTATGTGAGCATCCTGCCAGGCCCATCTCAGTGGGAGCTGCCCTCTATTGCACTCGAATGGACACCCTGAGAAAACTGGGTGCCCTAATGGTCTCTGCAGGAAAAAAACATTGTAGAGTCGCCACTACATCAAGTAGGGGTTCTGCCCTGATGCTCCAGCAGCTTCACTGAGGGGGAGAAGAGCTGGCTCCGGTCCATCAAAAGGCAGTGGAACATTTGAGAATTTCTGGGAATGCAGGGCTTAAAGTTCTAGTTGCATTGATTCCCTTCCCTTGGGGTCTTCGTTGTGAACCGGTAGGGGTTATTGTTGATGTCTGGGACTTTATACACTAGATTGGTCCCCACTGTTAGAAGAATGTTGATTATATAAAAATGGTTAAATTGTGTCCTGCTCTTCCAGAGGTTCCAAATTCAGTTCCTACCATCTACATAAAATTCCCATCACCCATATACGATAAGATGATCCATTATTGCCTGGAACTCCAGTTCCGGGGCATCCAATGCCTCTAGGCCCTGTGGACACCCTCTCTCTCTCTCTCTCTCTCTCTCTCTCTCTCTCTCTCTGTGTGTGTGTGTGTGTGTGTGTGTGTGTCTGTCTGTCTGTCTGTCTGTCTGTCTGTCTGTCTGTCTCTCCCTCTTTCTCCCTCACACACACATGTGAGATATATATATATCTACATATAATTGTTTTAATATTTATAACTGTTTTAATTGCAATTCCAACTGCAAAATGGTACAAAAATTCAATGGCCCATTTAAGAGTCCTGTCTCTTTTCCATATAATGGAAAATTAGGCCACATTGTATTGCAGTGCTGTGTCCCTAATGGGGAATTTAAATTTGTTTAATTTTTTCATTTTAGTAACAGGGAACTTTTAAGTCTCTGATGCAACTAGTTAAGAGGCTTGAACCCCATTCTATGCAGAGATCTGGGTGTGGACTTGATTCTCTCCCAGCTGGGGTTCAAAGGGCACCCCCACCAGTTCTGTACATTAAAACACCAAACAAAGCTGGGCGGTGGCGGTGCGAGCCTTTCATCCCAGCACCAGGGAGGCAGAAGCAGGCGGATCTCTGTGAGTTCAAGGTCAGACCGGTCTACAGAGCGAGTTCGAGGACAGCCAGGGTTATGCAGCAAAACCCTGTCTCTAAAAACAGAACAAAAAAGCAAAACAAACAAAACAAAAAAAGTAAACAAAATGTCAGTCAGGACTGCTCAAAAAGAGCCCCGTGCCAGGAGACACAGGAAGGAAGAGACATCAGAGTTAATGTAGGCATCCTCACGGCCAGAAACAAACAGGGGAGGTGGGAAACCGGATCCCTCAGCCTAAAGGAACTTGTTGGCCAGTCAGGACTTCAGATAAGAACCAGGGATCCTCCAGGCATGAGCCGTGGAACTGATCAGATCTCAAATGCAAACAAATCAAGACCCCCCGCCCCAAAGCCATTTCGGGACTAGGCAGTCCTGCATGATATGAAGAAGGATTCTTAGGTTAGCAACAAGTGTTTAGTTTCCTTTCTCAGAGACTAGAATCCTGTTACTCCTGGTATGGTATGGCAGATGAGGGAGTAAGGACAGGGAGAATAATCTGGGGTGATTGGCAAGCTGGTGTCAACATTTGAGGACACACCAGTCCACTGTGCCCAACATTGCCCGTTCCGATAGTCCTAGCTAGCCCTAATTGTCAACTCAACACCTTCAAGACATCTGAGAGAAGCCTCACTTGAGTGAGGAAGCTGTCTAGAGCAGTTTGGCCTGTGGCCGTATCTGTGAGGGATTGTCCTGGCCATTGGGTGTGGCTGGGCTGCTCTAGGAACACCATTCCTAGGCATGTGGGCCTGCTCTACAGAAAATAGCTTAGGAGTGAGCCAACCAGCAAACAATATTCCTTAGGTTTCTGCTTCGAGCTCCTGTCCTTGTTGTGGCAGGTTCGAGGAGCCCAGAGACTAACCCAAGGAGTCCACAATCTGCTGCAAAAGCAAAAGGTTTCTTTTTATTTCAAGTTGGCCAGCTAGGATCTCACTGCATGGCGGGCAAATGAGACGCCAACCAGCCAAGAAGAGAAGCTTTTAAAGGGGCAGACCGTAAGGTTGAAGGCCACAAATTATAGAGTTTCCGTGGTTACTTAAGGTCATACAAAATACAGAGTTAGTCAGTAACTATACATTTTAAGGGAGATACGTTTGACTGAGATAAGACAGGGGGAATGGGCTTGCAGGGTTACAGAGTCACAGGGTCTGTCTGATCCCTGGGTTGGGGGATCTTTATGACCAGCAATTAGCAAAGGAATGTTAACAGGAGTGATGGACAGTTACCTCTCCTTCTCTGAGAGCAGGGGATCAGGCGCCAGTCATGACACTCCTGATTTAAGTAGTTAAAATTTCCTTTTCCATTACACATTCCCCTTTCAGGGCCTAAGTTTTTCTTTTCTTTTCTTTTTTTTTTTTTTTTTTTTGTTTTGGTTTTTTTGTCGGTTTTTCGAGACAGGGTTTCTCTGGGTAGCTTTGGAGCCTATCCTGGCACTCGCTCTGGAGACCAGGCTGGCCTCGAACTCGCAGAGATCCACCTGCCTCTGCCTCCTGAGTGCTGGGATTAAAGGTGTGTGCCACCAACACCCGGCTCAGGGCCTGAGTTTTTAAACTTTTATTAATTTGAATTTTTGGTCCCTCATCCTAAATTCTTCCCTCACTGATGAATGGCGATCTGAATGTGTAAGCCAAATAAACCTTTTTCCTCCCCCAAAGTTGCTTCTGGCCAGTGCACTGCATCACAGAAACAGAAAGGAAGCTAGCACACTGTAGCACTGCAATGGCGGTTTAATGAGGCCCGCGGCCTGCGACAGATTGGTCATCATCTTGGCCGTTGCTAGTCTTGACTAGTTCTGCCCGCAGCCTTTTGTCTCTCAGGCTCTGTCTCATGAACATGAACCCTGCTTGGTTCCCTGGTTCCCTGCAGCTGCCCCTGGCTGCCACCAGAGCTGCCTGGCTCCTTCCTCACACTGGCTTCAGGCTTGTAGTGAGCCTGCTGTTCTGCCAGGCACTGCTGGAGATGCTGGAGACAGAACCGTGAGGTGGCCTTCTAGTGGCTCAGACAGACGGAGAATGTGGGAAACCAGCACATTGTGGGAGAAGGCTAGATGCCATGGGGACCGGAAGCCAGAGCAGGAGGGATGATGGGGATGGCCTCACTGAGTCAGTGACACCTCAGCAGAGGTTAGCTGGGGGTGGGGGTCTTCATGCACACCTCAGGGGTAACACTTCAGCCACCAGAGGTGCAAGAGCAAGCATCCCTAGGCTCAGCTGGGAAGGACAAGGAAGGAAGGCGTCCTGTGCACTAGAGCTGGGGACTTGAGTGGAGGACGTGAGGGCCGAAGGGGAGATAATACAGGGGTCTGACCTCTGCCGCCTCTCTGCAGATCGACTACCAGTACTCAAGCCTTCCTGCCTCCCTGAGTGAGGGTCGCCTGCGTGTGTACCAGAGCGGGACACAGGGTGTGATAGAGCTGGACTTTGGGCTGGTGGTCACCTATGACTGGGATGGCCGGCTGACACTGAGCCTGCCCAAGCGCTTCCAAGACCAGGTGTCTGGGCTGTGCGGCAACTATAACGGAGACCCTGCTGACGACTTCCTCACGCCTGACGGGAAGCAAGCTTCTGATGTGTTAAACTTCACCAAAAGCTGGAAGCTGGATGACGGCGACCACTTATGTGATGATGGCTGTTACGGCAACTGTCCCTCGTGCACGGCAAGCCAGTCCCAGTTCTTTAAGGGAGACCTTTTCTGTGGCTTGCTAACTCTGTCCATGGGCCCGTTTGCTGACTGTCATGGCTTTCTGGACCCCAAGCCTTTCCTGGAGGAATGTGTGTATGACATGTGTGTGACTGGTGGGGAACGCCTCACCCTGTGCAACGGCCTCAGTGCCTATGCTAGAGCCTGTGTGGACCTGGGCATCCCTGTCCGGGAATGGAGGTCGCGAAGCAACTGCCGTGAGTTACAGCCAGGGTTGGGAGGTCTTGGCGAAGGGCCGGGGAACTGCTGGATCTGCTTGGTAACTGGGCACTGACTGTGTTTCCACCTAGAGACAGGCAATAACAGGAACACTGGGATGACCAAGACACCCCGGCTCTACGACAGAGAGCCCAAGGCTAGAATACACGTAGTGATGCCCAGGGACAGACTCCAATGTCTGGCATGAGAGGACACTGAGGCAAAACTGTAGAGTAAATAGAGAGGGGTTCAGGACAAGACTAGGGGGTTCTAGAGAGATCAATGACTCTAGTGAGGATTTCTGACGCAGTTATGGGGAGAGTTTTCCTAGAAAAAGAATGCCCTATTTGAAATCCATGAGAAGGAGTGGAGTAGCCAGAAAGGGGAAGGAGAATGTGGGCTCCTGACCCAGGGAACCACGAGGTTTGCCGGGCAAGGTAGTCCCCTAAGTTACAAGATAAAAGTCAATGATCATTCTTTGCTTGTAACACTCCCATGACTCCCCTGGCCCCCACCCCACACCGGACTGAGCCACAGATGACTAGCCAGGTGTCTATCCAGTAAAGCTGTCACTCATTCAATCAACAAACATGCCGTGTCGTCACAACGGCCTCTTCCACGCTGGCAACGTGCAGGGCAAAGTCAGAGGCCACACTAACATGCCTGCGGCCGGGAGACACCTCAGAGAAATGCTGAAGAAGCATAAAGGATGGGGGGGCGGGGGGACAGCCCTGGACCCAGTGCTTAAGACTAGGACTTCAGGCTGGGCGTTGGTGGCATTGCACGCCTTTAATCCCAGCAGTCGGGAGACAGAGGCCGGCGGAGCTCTGTGAGTTCGAGGCCAGCCTGGTCTCCAGAGCGAGTGCCAGGATAGGCTCCAAAGCTACTCAGAGAAACCCTGTCTAAAAAAAAAAAAAAAAAAGAAAAAAGAAAAGAAAAGAAAAAAGAAAGAAAAAAGACTAGGACTTCAGAAGGGTGATTGAGTGATTGGTCCAAAGGGAAACAAAGATACTGTTTGGACTTTCTGCATCACTATGATGCCCCATCGTCCAGTAAGCCTCCCAGATAAGTCTCTCCAAACTCAAGACAAAGGAGAAGCCAGTGAGTTCAGTGTCTTGCATGTGCAGCTCTTAGGCCTAGTGGCTGGAGCTGAAGATTCAGTATGACTGAGTCAGGCTGTGTCCCCACTCCAGCAAAACTTACATCCCTGGTGGGGAGGGACAGGCAGTTTAGCAGATCAACTATGAAAGACCTTCAAAGGACAAAGAAGGCAAGTCCTGTGATCGCATCTGGAAGCTTGGGGAAGACTTTGGAAATCAATGACTCTAGGCCCAGGGTACAGAGAGGAGATGGAGTCAGCCAAGCCATCACAGCGATGACAAGGGGTACCCCTCATTCCATCCGTATAACCAGTGAAATCAGTGTTGTGTAAACGCTTTGACTCCCGGGGCCAGGAGAGTGCTGGTGTTGGAAACCAAGCTGTCTGGGCTCCTGTAGCCTTTGGTACAGGGGACCGGGACACCAGGCAGGAGGCTGCTGTGGTTCGTGGGCTGTGGAGACAGATTCCGGGTGGGCTCAGACCATGAAAGTCACAGGATTTGCCCACTGACTGGTTGCCCAGGGATGGCATGGGGGAGGCCATTGGGGCCTGAGCAGCAGGAAGGCATGAGTGACATTAACGAGGGGTGTGGAGCTCCGGGGAAGCAGCATTGTCTGGGGGAGCCCCACCCTAGCCTGACACAACTTCTGTCCTTTCCACAGCCCTGTCCTGTCCGGCCACCAGCCACTACGAGCTCTGCAGCCCTGCCTGCCCAGCCTCCTGCAACTCAGAAGCTCTACCCACCAACTGCTCTGGGCGCCCCTGTGTGGAGGGCTGCGTGTGCCTTCCTGGCTTTATGGCCAATCGTGGCCATTGTGTGCCTGTGTCATCCTGTGGCTGCACCTTCCAGGGCCGCTTGCTGGCCCCGGGTCAGGAAGTGTTTGCTGACGACCTATGCCGGCAACGCTGCACCTGTGATGGAGCCACCCAGAAGGTGATCTGCCAGGACACGCCAGGATGTCTACCTGGAGAGCGCTGTGGGGTGCAGAATGGCTTCTTGGGTTGCTACCCAGAATACTTCCGCAGCTGCCAGGCCTCCGGAGACCCGCACTACATGACCTTGGATATGCGGAACTACAATTTCATGGGTACCTGCACCTACATGCTTGTTGCCTCGTGTGGCCAGCACCCCTCCCTCCCCGAATTCAAAGTGGTTATGGAAAACGAACGTCGCGGAAGTCAGAGCGTGAGCTTTGTATATTCCGTGCAGCTGGAGGTCTATGGAGTAAAACTGGAGGTGCCCCGGGACTATCCGGGCAAAGTACTGGTGAGTGTTGCATGTCATGGAACTGGGGAGGGCAGAAAGCCACTGAAAGACTGGTGGATGGGGGGAGGGGTGGAGTGGGGTTCATTCAATGATCTTATGGCTAAGGCCCATACCCCAGACTTAGCCCCTGCTATCTGGGATAGCGGTTCTGATTGTCCCCCAGTCTGTTTTCCTTTGCCACCAGGAGCCACCATTCCCTGGGTGGTTGTGGAAACTTGATGAGTCTGTATCTGCCGAGTCTTTAAAAGAGGTTTTGGTGCTCAGTAGATATTAGTGGTCCCTGGTTTTGTTTTTTTTGTTTTTTTTTTTAATTTTTTAAAAGACTTTATTTATTTATTATGTATACAGCATTCTGCTTCCATGTCTATCTGCACACCAGAAGAGGGCACCAGATCTCATAACGGATGGTTGTGAGCCACCATATGGTTGCTGGGAATTGAACTCAGGACCTCTGAAAGAGCAGTCACTGCTCTTAACCTCTGAGCCATCTCTCCAGCCCCTGGTTTTGTTTTTAAGAAGCTTTGGAATTATAGACTTGTGCATTTTTCTAAAGGATGGTCCAAGCAAGGTGCCAGGGATCCTGGAATGTCAGGAGCAAAGTGAACATTTTTGTTGGGGGGGAGGGGGATGGAGATCCTAGTTTAGCCTCTCAGTCTGAGAGAACGTCTGTCCACCCAGACAGAACACCAAGGCTACACATAGTGAGAGCTTGTCTCAAAATATCCAGCAAACAAAAGAAAAGCCAGAGCCAGGCAGTGGTGGTGCACGCCTTTAATCCCAGCACTTGGGAGGCAGAGGCAGGTGGATCTCTGTGAGTTCCAGGCCATCCTGGTCTACAAAAGCAAGTTCCAGGACAGGCTCCAAAGCTACACAAAACAAAAAAGAAAAGCCAGTCTGCCTGGCTTTGTCCTCTTCTTTGTGCTCTCTTCTCCCCAGGATGGGCCTCAATTCATCACTTTTTTTTTTTTTTCTTTTTTGAGACAGGGTTTCTCTGTGTAGCTTTGGAGGCTGTTCTGGAACTCACTCTGGAGACCAGGCTGGCCTCGAACTCATAAAGATCTACCTGCCTCTGCCTCTGCCTCCCCAAATGCTGGGCTTAAAAGTGTGTGCCACCACTGCCTGATTCATCACTTCTTTTCAGGCTCTTGCTTTCCAGGCTGTCTGCTGTGTTATTCATAATTTGGCTCAGTCACCCTGAGGGCCAAACTAGTCTTATTCACTAGGGTTGAAAACCCAGATCCCTGGACCAGCTGGCTAGGCAAGGGCCAAAGGACATCCCTAGGTTGGAGTCCATACCTAGAAGGCAAGTGTCCAGCTTCAAGCCTTCCCAAACAGGTTTTGCAAATCTACAATAACTCCCATCCCATGATCAAAATAGCTTCTCTGCTATTCTTGAGTCTTGATACAGGCAAAGTCAAGTTTACAGACAGCTCTCATCCATCCCTGCCCACCACCCCCCCAAATATGGTAAAAACCAGGCCTGTTGACACATACCAATCCCAGCACTCGGGAGGCAGAGACAGACAGATCTGTGAGTGCCAATCTAGCCTGGTCTACATTTCTAGTTCCAGGCCAATTAGGGATATACAGTGATACCCTGTCTTGAAGACAGACAGACAGATAGATAGATAGATAGATTGATACATAGATAGATACATAGATACATAGACACATAGATAGATAGATAAATAGATAGATAGATAGATAGATAGATAGATAGATAGATAGATAGATAGAGCCTGGTGTAGCGGTGCACGCTTTTAATCTCAGAACTTGGGAGGTAGAGACAAAAAGATCTCTGCAAGTTTGAGGCCACAGAGCCTAGTCTACATAGCCAGTTCCAGGACAGCCAAGGCTATAGAGAGACCTTGTCTAACGTGTGTGTGTAGAAATGAATTGTTGGATAGTCACACCATAGGCCATAGTTATAAGAGGGAAGTTTGGGTAATGGCCAATGCCCTGGAGAGAGGAAAGGTAGACAAATTAAAAGTGGGAAACATAACTTCCCTTGTGCTAGGCTCTGTATCCCCCCTCCCCATGTTTGGTTTGGAAAGTCTCTTGGTAAAGAGAGGGCACAATTAATTACGTTCTCCCATCTCTCTGATGTGACATTTTACCTAAGGCTTGAATATTAATTAACCATTGTATTAAAACAACTAAATGCAAAGGTCTGAATATCAGACTAAACAGAAAGGTTTAGAGTGCTATGGGTACTGGGGAGATGGGCAAAGCAGGTACCCTGACCTGTTGGTTCTCCTGCATCTCTTTACCCAGATGGATGGCATCAGTCTCCACCTGCCTTTTCAAGCCGCAAGAGGAAAAGTCGTAGTGTTCCGTCAAGGCAAGTACGCCACGCTGCGCACGGACTTTGGGCTGACTGTCAGCTTCAACTGGGACACCCATGTGACTGCCAAGGTGCCCAGCAACTATGCTAAAGCTGTGTGTGGGCTCTGTGGGAACTTCAACGGGGACCCTCGTGATGACCTGGGTCTGCAGAGTAAAGGGGAAGCCCTTGACCCTCGAGACTTCGGGAGGAAGTGGCTGGTGACAGCAAAGCCCAGCTGCAGGACTGATGAACAACATGTGTGTCCCGACATAAACAGCAAGGTGGTGGCAGAGAACAGGAAGAAGTGCCATATCCTCGGTGACCAGAATGGCCAGTTCAGGGACTGTCGGAGAGTAAGCACGTTCAACAACGCCCTCATGGAGTGTATTTATGACAGCTGCCGCATGCGGGGTCAAACCAAGCCACTGTGCGACACGCTGTCCACATACACCACCATATGCCAGGCTGAAGGGGTCACCGTGTATCCCTGGAGGAGTGAGAAACTTTGCCGTGAGTACCAGGAGTGGCAACCAGGGGGTTTGGGTCTGATGTTTGTTCATTCGCATTCAAGTAGCATTGACTTCATCCTTATGATGCCTGGCGAGGAAGGGGCTGCGCACATGCCCTGGAACTAAGGGACAGCAACATGACGCTAAGAAGTCCTGTGACCGAGTACACCTGGTAACCCTAAGTTTGATTGCCAGTGACAATCGTCAGTCAGAGACAACAGGAAGCTGTTGTATATTTGAAAGGAGACTGCTAGGACCAACAGACAGAATCTCCCCTCTTCATTTTATTTCATGTAAATGGCCATTTATTTAATATAAATGGCCAACATGCTTAGAGCCCGCAGTATCAAAGCATGGGGGCTGCAATAGCTAGAGGAACTGCAATAGCTCAGGGTGGGGAGTTCTTCTGGCTTGGTTTCAGAGTTTTGGGGTTTGGCCAGCTTTTTTCAGTTTCAATTTTATCTGACACTGAAGTGTGAACACAGAGCCTGACCCAAGTTTGGCAAGCTCTGCCCGGGAGCTCAGCCCAGCCTGCTTGGCTGGGTGCTTCCTTCGCTTTTGTAGAACTGCTTGACTGATGAGTCTGAGTGACTGGTGTTTAGGAAGGGACAGAAGACATGGTTTGATTTGGTTGGTTGGTTATTCTTTAAGGTTTATTTATTTTATGTGTGTGGGTGCTTTGCCCACATATACGTCTCTGCACCAACGGGTATTCGGTGCCCAAGGAGGTCAGAAGAGGGCATCAGACTCCCCCTGGGATGGAACTTGCATTCCCTTGTGAACTGAGCACTGTATGGGTGCTGTGAACTGAACACTGGTCTTCCCTCAAGAACAGCAAGTGCTCCTGACAGCTGAGCCATCTCTCCAGAACCATGTTTGTCATTTCATTGTAACACTAAATGTTTTCACTAAACTGTAGTATAAGTAATTTTTTTTTTTTTCGAGACAGGGTTTCTCTGTGTAGCTTTGGAGCCTATCCTGGCACTCGCTCTGGAGACCAGGCTGGTCTCGAACTCACAGAGATCTGCCTGCCTCTGCCTCCCGAGTGCTGGGATTAAAGGCGTGCACCACCAATGCCCAGCCGGGGAACCTTATTTCTCAGAAAGGTGCACACCTTTAATCCCAGCACTCGGGAGGCAGAGGCAGGCAGATCTCTGTGAGTTCGAGACCAGCCTGGTCTCCAGAGCGAGTGCCAGGATAGGCTCCAAAGCTACACAGAGAAACCCTGTCTCGAAAAACAAAAAACAAAAAAACAAACAAAAAAATGTCACACACATTAGCATTTATTTCCAATATTAGCAGTACCATTAAAGATACTATGGATTGACCACAAACCACAGTTGCTTGAGAACTGAATCTTATTTCTGAGGCTCAGAAACAATGAGGAAAGGTGTTCCCTTCATCCTACTGAACATGGTAGTTTCTTGAAATAGGGCCACTTTGTGCATGTGTGTGTGTTTGCGTGCGTGCGTATGTGTGTGTGTGTGTGTGTGTGTGTGTGTGTACTTGTGTATCTTGGAGGAACCAACTGTATTAAACCAAAAGGAAAAAAATCTTTGATCTTGATGTCCCCTCTCTCTGCAGCAATGAACTGCCCTCCTCACAGCCACTATGAGCTGTGTCAGCGAGGCTGTCCGTTGACCTGCGGAGACCTGCCAGTGCCTGGAGGCTGTGGCTCAGATTGCCATGAGGCCTGTGTCTGTGATGAGGGATTTGTCCTCAGTGGTGAGACGTGTGTACCCCTGTCTTCCTGTGGTTGCGTATACCGGGGCATTTACCACCCTGTGGGAGATGACTTCTATCCTGGCCCTGAATGCAATTCCCTTTGCCACTGTTATAAGGGTGGCCTGGTGTCCTGTCAGCCCTCGTATTGCAGCCCACATGAAGTCTGTAAGCTGTCCAGTGGCATCCTGAGGTGTGTGGCTGAGGATTCAGCCACCTGCCAGGTATCAGGATCGTCCCATTACACCACCTTTGACGACCGTCGATTTGACTTTCTGAGCAGCTGTGTGTTTGTGCTGGCTCAGACCTGCTGGACCAGGCCGGGCCTGCAACAGTTCACAATCCTTCAGGAGAACACCGCCTGGGGCAACAACAAGCAACTCAGTGTGATCAAGACGATCACCGTCCAGGTGGACAACTACACCCTGCAGCTCGAGCAGAACCAATGGAAGGTCAAGGTGAGAGCGTAGGTGGGGGCCCTAGAGGAGACGTGGGCCTTGGGGGCTGATGGGTGAGGCATGGCTGTTATTTATTCTTTTGTTTAAAAAGAAGAAAAGAGAAATGCTGAGACATGAGACATGTTGACTATAAGTTTATTATAAGGCCCGGCATAGTAGGGAGCCTAAGAAGAGGAGAGACAGAGGGAGAGCGCATAGGTGACAGACAGAGTAGAGAGGAAGCAGAGAGAGTAAATGGGCAGGGATCTGTCTTTTTAAAGGGGTCCTCTGCACCTGCGTGCAGACTTAGTTCCCATGGAACCTTGGGCTGACCAGGATACTGCCTGTTCCACCAGGTAACAGGGGCAGGCCAGCATAATGCCTGAACCTTTCAATGGCGTGGGCAGTGTTCAAGAAAGTGCATGAGAAAGTATAACCTCAGCAAGAGGAGGTAGGGATAGAAAGCTTAGAGTAAGGAGGTCTCGGGGACCTGGGCCCTTTCCCATATGGCTTTGTCTCTCCTGCTCTATCCTTAACGGACCCAATCCTTATCTTCCTGTGAACTCCCATACCAGGTCCCTGTTTACTGTGTGACACTTTCTGGAAAGACACAGACACAAATTCTCTCTCTCTCTCTCTCTCTCTCTCTCTCTCTCTCTCTCTCTCTCTCCTCACTTCAATACAGACACAGACCTCATGGCAATTTGAGGCACTGGCAGGTCCCCACAGGTCAATGGACAGCCTCGATGACACAGCTCAGAGTGGCTGTGAGGAGGACAGTTCGTTGTTGCAGAGAGAGGGGCCATCAAGACCAAAGATTTTTACTCTTGGTTGGACACAGTTGGTTTCCCAGTATACACAAGTACACACACACACACACACACACACACACACACACACACACACACACTCCTTACCCCTAGATGGGAACCAATGACAGGCCAAAATAAAAATACCACCCAAGTTTGCCTTGGCAAACCAATGAGTTTAGTGGGTTACTTAAAGCAATGTACACTCATGGGGCATAAACAACTCAAAGGATGCTGGGAAAGCCAGAGTCCATTCCAGCATAGGTGATGGCTTTGGATGCTGAAACCCTGGAGCTTTTTCCACCACCTTCAGTTTGCTCTGAAATGGGAGAGTCTCCAAGCAGTCCCCAAGGGAAGAGGGATGGCCTAAATTCCGTGGTGAAAGGAGAGAACCAGTTCCCACAAGGTGTCCTCTGATGTCCATACGTGTGCTCCCTCTCACAAGTACTGAAATAAAATGTAACTTACAAACTTTTTTTTTTCTTTTTGAGACAGGGTTTCTCTGTGTAGCTTTGGAGCCTATCCTGGCCCTTCCCCTGTAGACCGGGCTGGCCTTGAACTCATAGAGATCTGCCTGCCTCTGCCTCCCGAGTGCTGGGATTAAAGGCATGCGCCACCAACGCCCGGCCCAAACTTTTTTTAACATAACATATGTTTATATTCTTACAGTTCTGGGTGTGGAATCTGAAGTCAAGATGGCTACAAGGCCACACCCCTTCCAGAGGCTGCAGGGGAGGAGCCTTCTTGCCTCTCCAGGCTTTTGGCGGCTCCAGAATGTCCCTAGGCTTACAGGGTCAACACTCCATCTTGAGTACTGGGTCTTCCCATGCCACCCTCTCTGTGGTCTCTGTCCTACTCCGATGCCTCACAGGACACTTGTCATTGGGTTAAGGGACCATTTTGATCCATGGTGTTCTCATGTCAAGATTGTAACTTATTGTAACTCCAACAAAGACCCTTTCCCAAATATGGTCACATTTCAAGGTCCTGGCTAGGATAAAACACTGTTAGTAAGCTGGGCGTTGGTGGCGCATGCCTTTAATCCCAGCACTCGGGAGGCAGAGGCAGGCAGATCTCTATGAGTTCAAGGCCAGCCTGGTCTCCAGAGTAAGTGCCAGGATAGGCTCCAAAGCTACACAGAGAAACCCTGTCTCAAAAAAACAAAAACAAAAACAAAAAAACAAAACAAAAAACACTGTTAGTATACATATTTTACAAATATGGAAACTGAGGGCCAGAAAGATGAAGTCACTCCAGATTTCAGTGTCAGACAGGGACATCTAGGGACAGACTGGGGATATTTAGTGACGGACGGCCTCAAAGCATGCCCTTTGAAGCTTGGCGTTCCCCGCTTCCAGGTGAACGGTGTGGACATGAAGATGCCCGTTTTGCTAGATGACAACAGTGTTCAGGCCTTCCAGCATGGCATAGATGTGGTAATCAAGACCAAATTTGGCCTGCTCGTGTCCTACGATCTCAACAACAATGTGCGTGTCACCATCCCCCATAACTACTACAAACACATGTGTGGCCTGTGTGGGGACTACAACGATGACCCCAAGAATGACTTCCAGAAATCCGATGGCTCACAGGCAGCCAGTCCCACTGAGTTGGGTAACTCCTGGCAACATGCTGTGCCAGACTCTCCCTGCATACTCCCGCCCGCCTGCAAACCAGGACAAGACTGCAAACCAACGTGCAGCCCTGAGCTGGAGAACAAGTATGGTGGAGTACAGTTCTGTGGGCTGCTCGCCAGCCCCACGGGACCGCTGGCTGCCTGTCACAAGCTGTTGGACCCCCAGGGTCCCTTGAAAGACTGTGTCTTTGACCTCTGCCTGGGTGGCGGGAACCAGAGCATTCTCTGTGACAACATCCACGCCTATGTGAGCGCCTGCCAGGCAGCGGGAGGGAAAGGGGAGCCCTGGAGGACCGAAACCTTCTGCCGTGAGTTACAGGGCATTGAGGGGTAGGGAGCAGGGGCTTGGGGTAGAGACCCGAGTAGAATCCCCACCCCCACCCTGCATTTTCTTCTTGCAGCAATGGTGTGCCCCCCTCACAGCCACTATGAGGTCTGCGCAGACACCTGCTCCCTGGGCTGCTCGACCATCACCACCCCAATAGCGTGTCCAGACACCTGTGCTGAGGGCTGCGAATGTGACAATGACTACCTGCTAGGCATCACAGGCTGTGTGCCCATGGAGAAATGCGGCTGCCACTACAATGGAGTCTTCTATGAGGTAGGAGCCCAGCCATCTTGACGGAACCTGGAACTTCCTCCTGAACCAACCCCCCCCCCCATCATCAGCACTACGGCCTTTCCTGCCATTCAACCTTCTGACTCTATCTCTCAGCCCACGTCTGTCCCCTTCACTTACCCTGACTGGGTATACCTTGTCCTCATCCAGTCCTTAATTTCCCTCCCTTTGGTCTACCCTCCTTGTGGCACTGGAAAAGTTCTTTCCAAATGTCACTGTGGGCAGTGATGTTTTAAACTCTCCCCAGCTCCCAAAGACAAGACTTAACCATTTTGTGCTGTGTCTGGGCTAAGATGCCTCCCCTGTTGTCAGTCAGCTGGGCAGAGTCCTTCCGCTCTGCTGAGATAGAGATATGTGGGAGAAAGGGGAAGCTTTGTAAGTGATGACCCTGGCACTCTTTTTTTGTTTTGTTTTGGGTTTTGGTTTTACGAGACAGGGTTTTGGTGCCTGTCCCGGAACTCACTCTGTAGACCAGGCTGGCCTCAAACTCACAGAGATCCGCCTGCCTCTGCCTCCCGAGTGCTGGGATGAAAGGCAAGCTCTGCCACAGCGGGGCTATCCTGGGTACTTTGTATCCACAGGTGCTTGACGTCAGCAAGCAGGCAGGTGGTGGCCTCTAGTGTCACAGCTCTGGTTCAGGCTTGGGTAACAAGACTCTTAGCTTTGGAAGTGTCACAAGGCCTGAGAGGTGAAAGGTCCCTTAGCAGCAGCCAGTGTTCCACCCTGCACCTGGGGGATGAGAGTCCCTTGGATGAAAAGCACTCTAGGACACTTCCAGCAACCAGAGCCTGCTGTTTCTCTTCTAGCTCTTTATAGCATCCTCTCCTCCCTGGACCCATTCTTCGTCTTCCCTAATTCTGCCACCCACTCTATCCTCACTGGGCACTTGCACCCATCCTTCAGTTGGCAAGCAGCCAGCCCCCCCCAGCAGCTCAGCTGGCCTCTTCTGCTGTCAAGCTTTGCGGCTTTTACACCTGAGCTTGCAGGCTGCTTGCTGCCATTGTCTCTCCGTTATCTCTGTTGCCACTGCCCTCTGTATCTATTTTGTTGCTTTCTTCCTGTTGCTGGCTCATCCCTCAATACTGAAAAGCAGGCAAAAAGAAGCCCCCTCAGAGGAGGCCTTTTATTTGCCCTCTTCCAACACCATGGAAGGTGGCACAGGGGACCAGCCTGTCTCCCAGCTGACTCACCAAGGGTGCTGAGTAGCATGTATCCATTGCCTTGCAGGGGCCTTTGCACCAATCACAGCTTTGCCTCTTCAGCACCAGCCAATGACAGTCACCATGGGGGGAAGCACTTGCCCTCTGGCCTAGAAATGAGAATAGAATCATGGAGCATTCACAGAGATCTGTGATAGGGAAAAGTCTGATAAAAACCAAAAGTCTACTGGGCGTTGGTGGCGCACGCCTTTAATCCCAGCACTTGGGAAGCAGAGGCAGGAGGATCTCTGTGAGTTCGAGACCAGACTGGTCTACAAGAGCGAGTTCCAGGACAGCCTCCAAAGCCACAGAGAAACCCTGTCTCGAAAAACAAACAAACAAACAAACAAACAACCCAAAAGCCTTGGCTCAAACCACCCTTTCAGGGGCCAGAACAACCAGCTATAACATTCTCCTCAACTCCATGGAGTGCTCAAGACCACATGCGCTGATATGAGCTTAGTCTGGCTGGCTCCTTTGAGTGACAGTCCTTTTGCTCAAGGAAGCTGCAGCAGCAAAAGAAAGTCCAATAGCTGCTAAGCAGGAGTCAAATTACCTGATCCTCCCAAATCTTTCCTTAATTGCAAGCAAATTAACACCAGAAAGAGCACTTACAATAAGAAAACAAATAATTTATCTTAACAACATGACTATAAAAGCTTTTAAGATTTGTTACATTTATGGACGAGAGTTCTGTTTGCTTCTGTACCTGTGCACCATGTGTGCTCCTGGTGGGTGTCATCAAAGAGGCTAGAAGAGGGCATCAGATCCTTTGCGACAGGAGTTCTGATGGTTGTGGGCTGCCCACCATGTAGGTGCTGGGAATTGAACCCAGGTCCTCTGGAAGAGCAGCCAGGGCTCTTAACCACGGAGTCATCTCTCCAGTCCTAGTTAATAACAGCTGCTCAGTGCTCCAAGGAGAGATGTGTTCTCTCTGCCTCATGACCACAAAGAGGAGATTTTGTGTTATAGCAACTGCTCATTTCCTCCGATTCCTCCTCCTGCTCCTTGACACGGGTGCTGCCTTAGCGGGCGAGCACCCACGTGCTCCCGTGTGTGCGTGTGTGCGCGTGCGTGCGTGCGTGCGTGCGTGCGTGCGTG